ATTAGCCTTGAATAAGTGGAAAAGTATCGATGAGACACCACCACCCGTTAGTTTTTCATTCGCTGGCGGCGCATGTAATTTCAGTCAGCAAATTTCGGGTTCCATCAGTCAAGAATGCGCGGATATGTGCAATAACACTGCATGCAAATAAAAATGAGCATAAACGCCTCCTGAAAGGATACATTCGCACGTAGGCATATATGCAGGTCGTACGTACGTAATAATTGCACTGCAGATATCGAAACGTAAAGCTGCGTTTATGTGGCATACGCCAACGTATAGCTGCACATATATGACTTAACGCACGTATGTGTTTCTAAGATTCAGTAGAATGAACCTAGCTTGAAAGCCACACGGCGCACAACCAAGGAATATCAGGAGATCACACGGATTAGACATACAGAAGACCAAGCGCAGCTGCGCCTTGGAACCCAGCTCGCAGTTCGTTCTACTGACAGATGCCCAAACTATTCAAAAGAAACCAAAATTCCGCTGTTGCCCCTAAAACCCGAACGGAACAGCGAGCTCTGAATACGGGCGGATTAGTGCATAGATTCGGTACGAAAACGAAAAGGTAACGATCAGAAGAACGCTTTTCGAGAGGCGTTTTGCCAACTGCTTCAACTGACTGGGGCAAGTGGGTGAAAACTTATTTCTCTATTATTATAGGAGAATACATTACGCATGTATAATTCATATAGGGAATTTTGCCGTTTTCTTGACTCGAAGATATTAATCCGCATTGTATGATGCCTACAGATTAATATCGTGACGCCCTGGATGTTTGCCAAGGCCAGAGGCCAAATATACAAAATTCATCTTGGTTTTGATTATCACCGTCATAATCGACTCTTCGTTAGTTCAACGAAGTGCGAAAGTATAAAGATAAGGAACAGAAGCCCTTAAGCCCCTCAATAAAGGATCAGTAACCCAGCTGACGAATATATCTTAACCTACTTGGAAATACAAATATAGTGGGAAACAGATACAAGTATACTGGGATATACCAGCTCAGATCTTTAACCATTCCTCGCGCGTAACTGGCTATTCGAACATAAAGTTGAGTCATTAAGAGCTTCAGCTTCTTTAAAGCCTTCACAAAGATAAGCTTTATCATTCTGTCAAACTTTACTAGCCTGTGTACGCTGCGTACAAGCCTAGTCAATTGTAACAGCGCACCATGGAACTAGAAGTGCCATTTTTTGCGCTCTGATAAAGCTTTATTCACCGATGTCAACAATGTATATCTCATATTTCCAGGATCACATTAGAATTCTTAAAATATTGCGCCTTCTAAGCAAATCTACAGTTACAAATTACCATTTTAAATGCGGAATGACAGTTCAACCATGACAACTATTCTTGTAAAACTCAGCACTTATGAAAATTGATTACGCGTAAAAACAAAGGCTATATGTTCAATACTCTGATAGCTTTGATATTACGGTTCAATTTCCCTAAGACCGGTATTCTTGAGTCAGCAGAGGGTTGCAGTCCCGGCAAGGTCACTAGTCATTTCTCTTTCGAGGTTGATAAATAAGTATCATTCAGTGGGAAGGAAACAGGAGACTATAAACTATGCTAGCCACACAGATGTTGCTCACTGCACCTCTGAAACAAGGCACATCTGACCGATGACATAAAAATATAGTTCAGACCTGCGGCACACTCTTTATGCAAAGAAGAGCGCCATAAATGGCCCATGAAAAGTCATGAAAATGGGAGAAAGATCGTCTGAACAGTTGTAAACTATCGTTTTCTTTTTCCCCTGACTCAGCAGCAGATGTTAAAAAATGCTTGCTTCGCTTTTTGCGGAAATAATACAAGAGCCACCGCGCCATAATTGAAACCACAGTGCATAAGAAATCTTAGCGCATGCTTTTCCAAACATCAATTATCACCTATTTGTTCAAATTGAGAAACACAGAAAGATTGTGGATTGTCGTAGACATATGTCTTCAAGGTCATAAATACAATTGTATGTGGATACCTACAGTTTAAAGGTATACCTAAGTGTACAGGCAACCGAAATGTAAACATAGGGAATAAACTACTGGGAAAAAGCAACATTACTCAAATTGCCATTTATAGTAGTAAATTAAGTTTGGCCACTTTTGAAATATAGGAAAGCGATTACGCATAGCGGTAACCAGTAAAATGCTGTCAGTCCAATCGAACAGTGGATTTCAACACATTCTATAGTTCCTTTGCACGAACCCTCCTGTGCCCCAGAGGTGCACGTGAAATTTTAGTCTCTAAAGTGACTTCCATTATTGCAGCCCATTTAAAGTTAAGAGTTAACGGCCTAAAAGTTATCGACAAATCCTTCCAGTCAATGTTATCACTTATTTTGCACGTTTCCGTTCTCATTAAGGAACAACGAAATGCCAAGTTATAAAATCTCACGGCGGAACATTGAATTTAAAATCGGTGGACTGATAATTATCCATCGTTAGTAATTTACCTTTCCGCATGCAACGTGAATGGTAGAACGTGAAGCAGCTTTCAACATTTATTTCTAAAAATAAATGACAATGCAATACTCCGTCTAAGTTTTGGAAGGAAGAATTTGCTTTCCAGTAGTTCATTCTGTCATATTGCCCAGGATTCAATAGAAAATAAAATTGTATGCAATAGTTGTAAAAACATAACTACCTACTTATCAGTCTCAATATGACGCTCTCAAAACCACCGCGTAAAATGTACATATTCTTGCACGTTCAATTTGAAGAGATGTCAATGGGTCCCTTGGCTGATACCTTCAAATCTGAGACCCCGTGTAGTAGCTCTCATGATGGAACCTATGCGCAAGACCGAAAGTTTACAACGGGATATGCAGCTTTCACTACATCAACTGCAAGTAAAACAGTTGTCACACAACAGTAATTAAAAATAACATACTGTATCTTTATGTGACTGCTATATTCAAGCTGAATGTACTAAATTGGTACCCTGGTTTGCATACATGTATATTACGATTTTCTAGACTGTTGGTAAACCACTTGAGGAACTCAATGTTACCAATGCAGCGCCGATCAACACTAAACTTGCCATCTTTCAATAGAATGCTGGATGGCCTCTCCAAGACTTAGCTATACGCTTGTTGTAATGCATCTTTAATAATCCTGATGCAACGAACTTGTTCAACTCACACTGCCATCGAACTGGACGTCTTCCTATTAGCCGTTTCCTCTCTCCCCCGGTTCAAAGAAATGAGATTTTTCTTGCAACGTTTTCTGCTCTCGCCACTTTAACGGCTCCATTCAGTCAATTACATCCAAGATTAACGTTACAGACGTGATCTGTCCCAGAGCCAGTTGTCCCAAATCTAAGTCTATTGACTCAAATGTCACGCGGTCGCGTACTTTAAAACAACCTAAATCTTACTCAAGCCTATTTTCGGTCCTACTTTAATGCTAGCAGCGTTTAGCCTTCGCATTTTTTGTTGGAGTTCTTTTAATGACCTTGAGAGAATCAGAATATCGTGCCCGCAAATATCAAGTAGTGTCAAGTACCTGAAGTCGTTGATTTCCCCAAAGCAGTGCCTTGAAAACCTGTATAGGACCATAATTCGTACTTATATCTAAAGATGGGCGTTATCGAACGAAGCTCATCGCAAATGCAACACGAATAATGACCAAGGTAAAAAGCAGTGTGAATACAAAACAGCTGACTGTTGACTGCATTCTCTTCAGTCACTAGGGCAGCCATGGCAATCTGTTAACAAGCCTATGGTCAGCTACGCAAAAAATCACATGAGAAAATTCTAAACTTCATTATTACACCCAAAGGGCGAGGAATGTTGGACGAAAAAACAGTCACTATTTGCAATAATCTTCAAAGACAATTTCAACCTGAAACCTGTCCTCATAATATAAAACCATACTAAATGAAACATCACACAAAGGATAAGTATGAAGTACGAGATACTGTTCATTTTTAGCCTGAAAATGAACGGTTTTTAAATCTTGGTCAGTTAATGAGAAAAGAATAGCCAAGGAGTGCCATACCAAACCTAGTTATTTTACTACAACTTTATTCAACAGACACTACAGGAAGAACTGGGAAGCACCATTCCCATGTACATCCAAAGGTGGTATGATGGCACCCTGTGAGTTGCTAGTTTTGTACCATCTATTTTCCGATCAAGGAATTACTTTGTGAATTAAAAAAACAACTGAAACTTTTCAAAAGACTTGCAGTTGTGCAATTTTTAAGTCAGATTTACCTAACAAAATTTTGCAATATAATTTTCCAAAACTACCAGAAAAACTAAAAGAAAACATCTGAGAAATATTTGGTCAAGCTTTTGGAGGCCCTCATTGTATTAATTCACTCTGAGGATCGCAACAGTAGAACATGTATCACACGGGGATAAATTTTCGATCAATCTGGCATCACCACCGACAGCCATCTCTAGATATTCATCGCTGTGGGTACATTTGCGACAGAAGCTCTACTCGAACAAACCCATATATCATTCAACGACTGAGGAAACGGTTAACTGATAAGACAGCTAAGCAAAATTGCAAAATCAGACCTGCTTATGGATATACAGTTCCCCAGAAACTCAATCAGAGTCAAACATTATGAAGAA